TCGATGGCTAGCGATTCGAGTCAACTTCTGAGTCATCAGATCATTTACCGGACGATGGATATCAGTTGGGATTGTTTTTCAGATCATCGGATTATCCACCGAGAGATGGATGCCAATTTTTGTCGATATATAGGGACTAGATCAATGTGTTGTCTAAATATGCTCATAATTTCAGGAATATATTAGATCTGCGCGATAATGGTGTCTATGCATAGTCTTTAAAAAAACTTTCTAATGACATAAAGAAAGAATATTTTGGACACGTTTTGTGCAAGTTATGAGGTTAATAATTTGATGAGTCAATAATCGAACAACTCATTTGGCATGACTCGTTATTTGGTTTGAATTTTTGACCATATGTCGATGGCTAGCTATTCGAGTCAACTTCTGAGTCATCAGATCACTTAGTGGACTATGGATATTAATTTGAGTTGATTTTCAGATAATCGGATTATCCACCGAGAGATGGATGTGTTGTCTAAATATGCTCATAATTTTCAGCGAATATATTAGATTTGCGCTATCATGGTGTCTATGCGTAATCTTTAAAAAAACGTTTCTAATGACATAAAGAAAGTATAATTTGGACACGTTTTGTGGATTTATGAAGTTAATAATTTGATCAGTCAACAATCGAACAACTCATCGGACATGACTCGTTATTCGGTTCGAATTGTTGACCATATATCGATGGCTAGCGATTCGAGTCAACTTCTAAGTCATCAGATCACTTACGGATCATGGATATTAGTTTGAGTTGATTTTTCAGATCATCGGATAATCCACCGAGAGACGGATACCGATTTTTGTCGATATGTAGGGACTAGATCAACATGTTGTCTAAATCTGCTCATATCTTTCAGCGCATATATTAGATCTGCACGATCATGGTGTCTATACGTACTTTTTTAAAAACTTTCTAATAACATAAAGAAAGAATAATTTGGACACGTTTTGTGGAAGTTATGAAGTTAACACTACAAAAAAACTGCGAAATTCCAACGGATTTTTCCAACGGATTAATCCGTTGGAATTTTTCCAACGGATTTCCAACGGTCTCCCGTTGGAATAATTCCAACGCATTTCTAACGGATTTCCAACGGACGTCTAACGGATTCTTCCGTTAGAACTCCGTTGGAAATTTCGAACGGCATATCAACGGATATTTGAGTTGGAAATTTTCCACGTATATTCCAACGGATTTCCGTTGGAAATAACGTTTGACGAATTGCAACGGCAATCCGTTGAAATTATTCGAACGTTATGAAACGCGGTAATAATTCCGACGGATATCCGTTGGAAATAGTCGAACGTTATAACGTTCGAAATATTCCAACGGATATCCGTTGGAAAGTGTAACGGTAACGAACTTTTCAACGGAATTCCAACGGATATCCGTTGGAAAGTTTCTCTATTTAAAGCACTCGACCATAATTCGTCCAAACCACTCTCTAAATCACTCTTATACTATTCTTTTACGAAAAATTCTCCTAAAAATGACATCTTCAACAAATCCGAATATTCGTTCGTCCCGACAGTGGATATACGAAAGAGTTGATTCGATTACAAAAGAGGTAACGCAAGAATTCATTAACGGTTTGGAACAGTTTATGAATTTTGCTTCTATGCAGCCGTTGTGTCAAGAACGTGGAAAAATGCTATGTCCATGTACAAGTTGTCGCAATTTTAAATATCGCAGTACAGAAGATGTTTGTAAACATCTATTTCGAAGGGGATTTGTGGAAGATTATTATATTTGGCGATTTCATGGAGAAGAAGTTCGGACAATCACAACGGGACAACATGTCTCGGCCGAGCAGAGGTATGATGTAGATGAAGATGTAAGAAATCCTTATGTTGAAATGGTGACAGATGCTTTTCCTGGGGCGCCATTGGCTGAGCAAAACTTATCACAAGATCAGGAGGAGCCAAACGTCGAAACAAAACGGTTTTTCGACATGTTGGATATGGCAAATCATCCTATCTATGAAGGATGTAAAGAAGGTCAGTCACGTTTATCTCTTGCATCAAGATTGATGAGTATGAAAACGGATTACAATGTCACCGAAAATTGCATGGATTCATTTTGTCAAACGTTGCGTGAATATTTACCTGAAAATAACGAAGCTCCAGAATCGTATTATGATACGAAGTCTATGTTGAAGAATTTGGGAATGCCTTATGAAAAGATTGATGTTTGCAAAAATGGTTGCATGCTGTACTGGGGTGAAGAAAAAGAATTGGTTAGGTGTAAATTCTGTGGGACTAACAGATACCGTCCGAGTAAGAATGTACAGAGACAAACTCCGTATAAAAAGATGTTCTATATGCCGGTATCATACAGATTGAAGCGTTTGTATGAATCACAACAAACGGCTTCATATATGAGATGGCATGCCTCACATTCTACCGTTGATGGAGAAATGCAACATCCATCAGATGCTTTGGCGTGGAAAAACTTCAACATGGTATTTCCTCAATTCGCTGCTGAGCCTAGGAATGTGTATCTATGTTTGTGTACTGATGGATTTAGTCCGTACGGACAGTCTGGCATGCAGTATTCATTATGGCCCGTTATACTTTCTCCGTACAACTTACCACCTGAGATGTGCATGAAAAGAGAATTTATGTTTTTGACATTGTTGATTCCTGGGCCAGAACATCCGAAGAAGAGTTTTGATGTGTATTTACAGCCGCTCATTAAGGAGTTGAAGGATTTGTGGGACATTGGAGTCCCTGCTTACGACGTAAGTGTGAAACAAAATTTTACACTGAGAGTGGTTCTTCTTTGGACGATCAGTGATTTTCCGGCGTATGGCATGCTATCGGGATGGAGCACACATGGAAGACTTGCATGTCCGTTTTGCATGGAGGAAACAGAAGCGTTTCAGTTGAGACATGGGAGAAAGACGTGCTGGTTTGACTGTCATCGCAGATTTCTTCCAAAGAATCATCCGTTAAGACAAAATCGTACGCTTTTTACCAAAGGTAAAATCGTTACTGAGGAAGGTCCTGTTATGCAAACCGGAGAGCAAATTTATTCTGAGCGAATAAATAGTGGATATTTGGATGATTTGGAAGCTTCTGTGCATTGTGGAGGAAATTTTGGGCATAAGAAGTGCAAAGGATTTGGTGATTGGCATAACTGGTATAAGCGTAGTATTTTTTGGGATTTGCCTTACTGGAGTTCGCTAACGCTTCGACACAATCTGGATGTTATGCATATAGAGAAAAACTTTTTTGATAACATCATCAACACCGTTCTAAATGTGCCAGGGAGAAGTAAAGATAACATCAACTCGAGGAAGGACTTGAAAGATATATGCAAGAGAAAAGAGTTGGAGTTGACACGTGATGGTCACGCACCTGTGCCGATATTCAGACTCACAAAACCAGGTAAAACGGTCTTGTTTAAATGGTTAAAAGAAGAGGTTAAATTCCCTGATGGATATGCATCCAAATTGGCGCGATGTGTTGATACCGATTCATTAAAACTTATGGGAATGAAGAGTCATGATTGCCATGTATTCATGCAAAGACTTATTCCTATTGCATTTGCGGAGCTATTGAAACCGAGTGTCCACGGAGCGTTATGCGGTATCAACACATTCTTTCGAGATATATGTGCAAGATCTCTGAGAAGAAGTAATGTAGAGGTTTTGAAAGGCAACATTCCTGAGATACTTTGCGCATTGGAAAAGGTATTTCCACCTTCATTTTTTGATGTGATGGAACATTTACCTATTCATTTACCAGATGAGGCGATATACGGTGGTCCAGTACAGTTTAGATGGATGTATCCATTTGAGCGATTTTTTTTCCATCTGAAGAAGAAGGCTAAAAACAAAGCAGCAGTGGAAGGATCTATCGTCAAACAGTATTTGTAAGAGGAGATCTCCTACTTCAGTTCTTTCTATTTTGAATCTCATATTCAGACGAAGAAAAGGAGGGCTATCAACGAAGACGATAGAAGTTATCTCTACCACTATGATTCATGTTTCGGACTTATTCCCGAAAGCTTTCAGCCTACTGGACGCCTCGGAGGCAAATCTGAAGAATATTGGTTAACTGTACAAGAGTACAATCACATCGCCACATATATACTGTTGAATTGTGAAGAACTTAAGCCATACGAAAGGTACACATTTTTTAATCTTAGATGTGATTAGAAATTAATTAATTACATATATATTTGCTAACAACTTTTTTTTGTAAGACTTTTTGACGAGGATGTTTTGGCAACATATCCTAACCTAAGTGGGGAGGAACTTGAAGGAATGAAGGAACAACATTATGCATCTTGGCTTCGAGACTACGTAAGTATTCTAGCTATATATATATATGTACGTGTATGTATTTGTGTATTAATTTAATTTTTATGCGCAGATTCAGTCATGCAGTGATAGAATTCCGGCATGGATCAGAGATATATCACATGGACCTGGAAGAAAAGTCATTTGCTAGTCGATAATGTTCACCCGAGGATACACGTTTCACACTTACGATCATGGAAAACATAAATCCACGTTCAATTACGGAGTTTGTATAAAAAGCGGGTCATCGGAAGATCCTGATTTCTTTGGGGTTCTTCGTCAGATTTTCCAACTCCAGTATCCAGGATTAGTCATCGGTGAAACGGCGACGGGAAGATCAATGGTCGGCTGTTTTGAAGATTAACCCACGAAGATTAATTATCGTGGATTCGTCGTCGACAACACAAGATCTCGATGAGCCCATGCAAGAGCAACTCGAAGATCCGGTTCTTCCCATCCGACTAGATGATGATTACGACGAGACACTTGCACTTCCTGACATAGACGACGAGTTACTTGATGATTCGTTACACGTACAAGACGATATAGACGAATTCGTTTCGGACCATGATACAACTCCGGATGATGAAAGTGATGAAGATTCTATATAGACTTATTTGTTTTTATTGTTTTTATATGTATTTGTATTTTGAAAAATCTATCATATTTTTTTTTATTTTTTTTTATTTTTTTTTAAAAATTGTAAAATTCCAACGGGCATCCGTTGGAATCGAATCGCAGAATTTGTCGATTCAATGCTGCGCTTAGATTCCAACGGATGTCCGTTGGAATATATGTGATCATTCGAATTCTGCGATTCGATTCCAACGGATGCCCGTTGGAATTTTACACTAAGCGCAGCATTGAATCGACACCAGATTTACAACGGGTGTCCGTTGGAAATTTCCAACGGACACCCGTTGTAATTGTTGAAACATTGAATCCGCTGATAAATTACAACGGATGCCCGTTACATACGTTTCCAACGGGCATCCGTTGGAAAATCTGAAGCATTAAATCCGTTCGAGGCACCTGGCGTCTATCGCGTCATTCCAGAAAATTTTCAACGGATGCCCGTTGGAATGGAAGATTATAACGGGCATCCGTTGGAATTTATGAGATAACATTAAATGCGTCCAGAAAATTCCAACGGATGCCCATTGGAAATCCGTTGGAATTTTCGATTATATAAGGGCGAGCGCCCATTCTTCCCCATCATTCAACAAGGATTCAAAAAAAAAAACAGAAAAAAAAACGAGCAAAAAAAAAAATCAACAAAAAAAAAACACAAAATGGTAATTGATTTTCAATTCTTGTTCAATTCTTTAATATTTATGTTTTGTATTAATAACTAACTATTGTTTTTTTACAGTTTCGTAGGCGATTTTCTGGTTCCGGAGGATTGTTAGCGGGTTCTTCTGGAGCGCCGCCACCACCACCTTCTCGTCTTCCGGAACCGGTGGACGCTCCTCCACTTTTCCCAGAGTGTGATATAACTCTGGAGGAGGTAGAGGAAATTTTAAATTCCTTCGACACTCGCGAGGTGCCGCTAATCGATCCCGAACTAGACGGGGCGTTATGGTCATTAATTTATAAATTAAATTATTTCAATATTTATTTTAAATTATATTATTAGTTAATATTA